TGGTCAGGAAATTCTCTCAGTGGAAGTGACAGTTGAGCAAGAGACCTGAATTAAAAGAAGGAGTGAGTCATTCAAGTATCTGAGAGAAAAATGTTCTAGGGCAAAGGCTTCCAGGCGAGAATGAGCTCAGTGTGCTCAAGAAATAGAAGGCCAGTAGGCTAGTGGACTGAGGGAGCAGGGTAAGAGGTGCAAGGTGGTCAGGGAGCTCTTTAGTCATGGTGGGGAGTTTGATTTTACTCTGTGGGGGAAGAGAACAAAATGGAAGGTTTGGAGTAAGCTCTGAAATTGAGATTCTGGAGGTGGTACAGATTCCGATGATGACAAACTTGAGGCTATGAGCTTGGGAATGGGTGACTAATATGGGGTGAAGGAAATGTTGGCTGGAGGCAAGGAATCAAGGTCTCCTGTGAGTAATCTACCTGGGTGTTGTTTTGATCATCCATATGGATGTCAGAATCATGAAGAATGATGATAGAAGTAGTTGTGGAAAGCAGGACAGGGCAGGGACTCAGGTGGTGAAGTATAGTGATTGAAGGGAATGACAGGAGGTAAGTGAATGACAGAAAGCAGAAGGATGGCAGGTGGTCAAGCCAAATGGCAGGAGTTTCAAAGCAGCTGATGGTTTTGAAGGAGAATAACTCATTTGAAAGTATTTGTGTGGATCAAGAAAAACACCCACCCACTTTTTTTCCCCAAAATATGTGGGCTTAGACATGAAATGACCCCACCTGAAAGGACTGCAGGCGTGGGATATCATTAGGGGCAGCCGGGTGCTGTTAATGCAAGGAGGGTGAAGCTCCATCCAGAGAGAGGTTATGGCAGTGGTTTTCAGCCTAGGTGATCTTTTCCCCCAGGGGACCCTTGGCAATGTCTGGAGACACTTTTGGTGGTTACAGTGGAGGATACAAATGGTTAAGCACTCCTCAACTGCTAACCAAAAGGTTGGCAGTTTGAACCCACCCAGCGGCTTTCCGGGAGAAAGACTTGATGATTTACTTCTGTAAAGATTACCAAAAACCCCATTGCCCTCTGACCCATAGTGACCCTATAGGACAGAGTCGAACTGCCCCATCGGGTTTCCAAGGCTGTAAATCTTTACCGAAGCAGACTGCTGCATCTTTCTCCCATGAAGCGGCTGGTGGGTTCGAACTGCCAACTTTTCGGTTAGCAGCCAAGCACTTAACCACTGCACCAGCAAGGCTCCTCTCTGTAAAGGTTATAGCCTAGAAAACTCCATGGACAGTTCTGTTCTGTCATGTGGAGTTGCTATGAGTTCAAAACTACTCAATGGCACCCAAAAACAATAACAGCTGGGGGTAAGGGTGTGCTACTGGCATCTAGTAGCTAGGGATGCTGCTAAGCATCCTACAATGAATAGGGGAGCCTCCACAGTAAAGAATTACCTGGCCCAAGATGTTAGTAGTTCTGTGGTTGAGAAACCCTGGATTAAGGATTTAGGAGCGTTTGCTCATCAAAGAACTGGAGTTACAGGGGCTCATACTTCCTCCTCTTCCACACACTGTTCAGTAATCCCTTTGATAATTTTTGGTGTGATATACACATTCACTCATTCACGTATTCACACACATGCAAGATCCTGTCTCCCTTATTTTTTGTCATATACAATATCTACATTATAGGAAATAACTAGTTTCATGGCTATTTTCAGTCATTCCATAAGATACGTACAGTGGATATACTGTTAGGATAATTAATCACTTGAGAATTGAGGGATATGGTTTCCTAGGTGTTCAGTTCTACTTAGGTGCAGGCAAACTCAGTTTTGTAGGAAAAAAAATATTTCCCCTAAAAAATGTCCTAGGAGACCAATGTATATTCTCTAATGACCTGAAGGAATAGGGATAGCAGACAGGCCTCTTTTGCTCTGCTTGGCACACCTAATATCAGAGACAGATTTTGAGGTTAATAAAACCAGCCATCGAAAACCCTATGGAACACAGATCTACTCTGACAGACATGGGGTCACCATGGGTTGGAATCAACTCAGTGGCTTCTGGTTGGTATTTTAAGGGAGTCCCTGGGTGGTGCAAAAGTGAATGCATCTGGCTGTTTAACCAAAAGGTTGGTGGTTCAAGCCCACCCAGAGGCTCCTCTAAATAAAGTCCGGGCGATCTACTTTTGAAAAATCAGCCATTGAAAATCCTATAGAGCACAGTTCTACTCTGACACACACGGGGTTGCCATGAGTCAGAATCAGTTAGACTGCAGCTAGTTTTGGTTTTATTGTTTCACAAACAGGAAGAGGCAAGAAAATGGCAAGGAGTTGGAGTTGACTCAATGGCAACTGGTTAGTGCCCTGAAAGAATTTAACATTTACGTGTTTGGAAATTTAGTTTTTATAACTCACAGACCTGAGCCTGCTTTTGCACAGCCCTGAGCTAAGAATGGTTTTTATATGTTTACAGTTCTTAAAAAACAAAAACCAAAACTAAAAAACAAAAAGAATATGCAATAGAGACCTTTGGTGGCCCTAAAAGTATGAAATATTTATTATTTGACCCTTTACAGAAAAAGTATACCCTTCGTGTAAAACGATATTTCATTTTTCAGTTTTTACTATGAAGTAAATAAATTTTTGTCACAGAATCACAGCACTGTATTCATTTGGAAATATTTATCGATGCTTCTTATGTGCAAAGGGCCAGATTGGGAGGATATATGCTGGCCATCAGGGAGCTTCTGTTCCAGTAAGGTTGTGGTTGTTTGCTGCTGTCGAGTTGGCTCGAACTCATGACGATGCCATGTACCACAGAACAAAATGTATCCCAGTCCTGCACCATCTTCATGATTGTTGGTATGCTCGAGTCCACTGTTGCAGCCGCTGTGTATTCTGAGTGCCTTCCAACCTAGGAGGCTCATCTTCCAGCACTGTATCAGAAAATATTCTGTTGTGATCTATAGGATTTTCAATGGCTAATTTTCAGAAGTAGATCACCAGGCCTTTCTTCCTAGTTTGTCTTAGTCTCCAAGCGCTGCTGAAAACTGTCCACCATACGTGGCCCTGCTTGTATTTGAAATACTGGTGGCACAGCTTCCAGCATCTTACCAACACGCAAGCCACCACAGTATGAAAAACTGTAAAAGTGGCATGAGGGCGATGTCTGACCTCCTCTAACTTCTCTGGGGGAAGGAGAATCAAGATCAACAGCCCAAGGCTGATTCCTGTGAGGTAGAGGTCAGACATGCCTCTTCTCTCCACCATCTCTACCAATTCTGATACCAAACTGTCCCTCCCATAGCATTCTCTACTTCTCTGCTGGGTTTGATAATTCATTGTAATGGTCACACAGAACTCACAGACAATACTCAGGATTATGGGGTTTATTAGGGAAGTAACAGGTTACAGTTCAGGCTGAGGAATGCTCAGGATACAGTTCTTCCATCAGGACAGCCTTCTTCCCAGCTGTGCTCACAGGCACGCCTCTCCCTGGCCCTCTGCCTCTGCCCAAAGACGCTCAGCGTTCTTGCTCCGTGGGCCTGGAAGCCCACTGTGTGGTCTGTCCTGCTGGTCTCTCTTGCTGCTGTTTCTCTGCCACCACTTCTTGCTGTCTTCAGTGTTACAGCTTACCTTTTGTTTCTTGGGTCCAGGAGCTTCTCAGCACAGGGGTCCTGTGTCCAAAGGATGTGCTCTCTGCTCCTGGCTCTTCTTCCTCGGTGGTGGTGGGAATCCTCTATTTCCCACTTCTGGAATGGCTCCTTTCAAGCCCAGTGGGATGGCAAAACTGACCAATCCCTTTGGTGGCCACAGTTACTATCACGCAGTCCCACCCAGTCACTTGGGTGGGAGTTGTAAGACCATGGCTAGAAAGGCTACACAAAGGTGATCCATCACACTGCAAAAACTGACAGACAGTTGGTGAGTTTAGTGAGGTAGGTAGACATAAAACAACTAAGTTTCACAACTAATCCTTGATTTAAAATGACGAATTACACAAAGGCGCTATGGAAGGGTGCCAGGAGGGTGTGTAAGGGGTCATTGAAGGCTTTTCTGGAGAAGTCTGGAGGAGGGCAGAAATGAGGGAACAGTTGTGATTCTGGAAGGGACCCTAGAGATTTTCTATTTCCTCTACTGTATTTTATGACTGGCAAACAAGCTGAATTCAATTTCTGAAGGTTAGAGAGCTGGTAGTGTCCTGAACAGATTAGGGACTGGACCCATGGCTGTCAACCCTGGCTGACATTAGAATCGATCGCCTGGTGACTCATGAAACACCGATACCCGGCTCCGTCTCCCCAGGTGATTCTAAAGTACAGCCAGGACAGAGCACCACTGGCCTAGGTGGAGCCAGGGCCTCCGCGGCCCTCAGCCAGTGCACTCTTCTCCCTGTGTCTCTCTTCTCTTGTCACTTTTAAGGAAATAATACAAGATGTAAGGCTGGACCTACCCTAGAGTTTATGTTTCTGAGGGGCATCTGAGAAAATTTTGAGTTTCAGTCTTTCTCCTCTTCAGGGCAACTTTTGTTTTGCTGACCAGCTCTCTTCCCTTCTCAGGGGTTTGTTCCTTTGCCTGCCTTCCCGTGTCCCCATTCCCTGCCCCTCCCCATCACCATGCTTGAGGCTGGGAATGCAAGCCAGTGAGATTTCTTAGTGCAAATGGTGGAACGCTGGGTTACTAACTACGTCTTCAGGGAACTATATCCAGGCTAAATACAAAGGAGGAAGATGACCATTTAAATCCAAAAGGATAGGGGGCTTCTTCAGACAGATGATGTACAACCTATAATGTGGTCCATTCTCTCCCGGTGCAGGAGGTATTTTTGAGAATGGCAGAGCAAACCAGGTCTGCCCTTTCACGTGTGGCATCTCAGGCCCCAGGGCGCAGTGTTCTCTGGGTTTGAGAGGTTCCTCTCTGCGCACATCAGTAGCCTTGGAAACGGTGTTGCTCCCTCACTGTGTTTACCAGGCTCCTCTCCTCTGGGAGTGTTGGGAGCCAGGTGATCTGCCAGTGCTCTCTCCTGATGACTGTGTTTCCTCCGCAGGGCGAACTCTGCTGGAGAAGTTGTTCAGCCAGCAGGAGAACGCTCCACCAGAAGAAGCAGAGAAGTTTTGCTCCCGGATCATTGCCATGGGCCTTCTGCTTCCTTTTAGTGACTGCTTCAGGGAACCGTGTAATCAGAATGCCCAGTCAAGTTCAACTCCGTTTGATGTAAGTAGGAGAATTTGCTTCTGCCTGTAAGGCATTTTGCAGTAGAAAGAGCAGCTGTGATGTGTGTCTCCCCAATCATTCTATAATTTAAAAAAACAGTGTTGTGATACTGCCTTCCTCCCCCTCAAACACTCTGCAGCTCAGTATGGCTATGTCTTCATTTTACTAGGGTATTCTTAATTATTTCCCTATGTTTAACAAGCCTCCTTTTTTTTTTTTTTAAACAGACAGCTACTCTTAAACAATTTTCTAGCCTGTTTTAATTGGTGATGATTTTAAAGTTGTGCTAAGTCAGTATTTGTGACTTTGCTGGTGCATAAACATTCTTTCAGATGCAAATCCATAGGGCAAGATTATTGTTCCCTGTGGGCCCCAGGTTTCCATGGTCCTAGGATGTGATTACAGTGAGTTCATAACTCATTTATGTACTAAATATTGACATGAAGCAGCATTGTCTGCTTTCTCCCCCAGCTCCCATTCACCAAGAGAGTTAATACTGCGGAACAGTAATTCAAAAGGCATATTCATAATTCATAACGAATATCAGCACAGCTGGATTTTCATTTTCAAGCCAGAGTATTGCTAATCTTTCTCAGGTATGTGGTACATTTGTGACATTGGTTGTAACGAGTATACATCTAAAAACCAGATCTGTAAGAATTCTCGCATATGAATTTCTCATAAGGTCTGGTTGGCTCAGTTGTGTGGGCAGAGTAATGGGTTCTCTCCCATATGGGTTAGTTACATTTGTTCCATTGCTTCTCTGCATCAGCCGTTTTGAATACACATACTGTTTATGAAGGAGTGAAATAATGATGACTTTTGAAGGACAATGAAAATGAGCCCTGGCTGAGATCAAGTTCGATAGTAAATAATAAAGTATATATATTTGCCTGTTTTTCTTCTTCCTCTTCTTTACCCATTACAATCTGTGGTCTTTCTTGATCTCTCTTCAGAATTAGGAAAATAAATCAGTAGTACCCTAAAATATTGTAAGATCTTCTTGATACTTCCCATTTGAAAGAAGATACTGCAGGATGTGCTGTGACTTGTGAAGCTGCCTTAAGATTTACTTTTGATTGTTTTTTTCCTGCTGTAATTTTTTCTTAATGACATGGCAGATAATCATTGCTGTTGTTATTGTTGTTAGCTGCTTTTGAGTCAGCCCCCAACTCATGGCAACTCCATGCGCATTGAAATGAAGCACTGCCCGGTCCTGTGCCAGCTCCATGATCGATTGCTGATCAGACATTGTGATCCATAGGGTTTTTGTTGGCTGATTTTCAGAAGTAGATTGCCAGGCCTTTCTTCCCCCTTAGTCCATCTTAGTCTGGAAACAAACAAACAAACAAAAACCAAACTCATTGCTGTCAAGTCAATTCCAACTCATAGCGACCCTATAGGACAAAGTAGAACTGCCCCATAGAGTTTCCAAGGAGTGCCTGGTGGATTTGAACTGACAGCCCTTTGGTTAGCAGCTGTAGCACTTAACTACTATGCCACCAGGGTTTCCTATTAGTCTGGAAGCTCCGCTGAAACCTGCTCAGAGCCTCCACTGATGGACAGGTGGTGGCTGCACGTGAGGTACATTGATGGTCTCCCTCATGGAAGACAATAATTCTACCATTGAGCCATCAATACTAGGGAGATCTTTTACTCTTATGGGAAGAATTGGGTATTTGAATTTTTTCCCCTTCTCCCCTCTGAGAGGTGTATGTTATTGTAGAGCCATGACTTGAGGATTATCATAGGATAAAAGTGTTGTAAAGCTATTTTCTAGAAGACACATGTCTTAGGCTGGGTTCTCTAGAGAAGCAAAACCAGTAAAGTGTATAAATATATATATATATATATATATATATATAGATTATATCAAGGAAACAGCTCACATGATTGTAGAGGCTAGAACGTCCCAAGTCCGTGGATCAGGGTATCAGGGTAGAGGCCTCTCCCAAGTCACACAGCCACAGAAGCTGGCAACCCCAAGATCGGCAGGTCAGAGAGCAGGGCTCCCACTCACAGGCTGTGCAGATCAATGAATCCCAGGTTCGGCAGATAAGCTGACAGCTCAAGTCCCAAGAACGGGAGATGAGACAACAGGAAGCAGCCACAGGATCCAGAGAGAGCAAAAAGCCAGAATGTCTGCTTATATACAGATGCGGGCCACACCCCCAAGGAGACTCCCTTTCATCTGATTGGCTACTCACAGTATATTCAGTCATGAGAGTGATTACATTAAAACACTGAGAATCATGGCCCAGTCAAGTTGACACACAATCTTAACCATCACAACACATCAATTTGGCAAGTTTGAATTATGATGCAGTACAATGGCAAACTCTAGCACTTACTTTTTGATTAAAACTTCCAAAATTAACTGCATTTTTTTCTTTTAAAGCGCAGAAGTAAACAGCTTTATCAGTCAATAAATGTGGAATTGGAATAAATTGAAAAAAAAATAGGGTAATCATATTCCTCTTTTTGAAATCAACTAACCTGGTTCCTTCTTATGTCCCACCTCCTCTCATCCTCATGTTAGACTAATAACTCCCTTCCAGCCGTCTTAGTTTGGAGAGCAGTTAGGAGTGGAGTGGAGAGTGAAAAGCAAACAACAAATAAAGAAAATTTCTCAATATTACACGCAGTAACTTTATATGATTTCATTTCCTCCTTAGTTTTTTCATTAACTCTGTGCTATCTCTTCACCCCTCCCCTAAACTGAACACAAAACAAATAAATCAAAGGTACTCTAGGAAGAAACTTTATTCCATATATTTGACTAGCCATTCTGTTACTGAACTGTGCATTTATTGTATGCACGCATAGAGTCAAAGATTTTCTTCAAAATCCCGAAGAGATACCATTGTAGAGGGAGTTATGCAGACTCAGGTATTATGCGGAATGAGGAGGAATGTAGTTATCTGTGGGGAGAGAAGTTTCTGCTAATTAGTCTCTCTGCTGATTTCCAGCAAATAGCTGTTGAGAGAATTTCTAACCAGCAGTTCTCTTGAGGATAGTTGTCCTTCGAGATAGGATACCCTGTGGGAATAAGCTCATAACTGGTGCTCTTCCCAGCCCCCCCGACTATTCTCTTCCCTAAAAACATCTAATCCCTTATCCCTTCTCCCCTTCTCTTCCTTTTCCTCCCTCCATTTACACATATGATTAGAGCAGTGAAGATTACTGATTTGGGGATTTCACTAATGCAGTTTATGGAGTAGCTTACTTCTGATTATTCGTCTCTTGTTATTTTATACATTTAACAGGGCCTAATAGTTTGCTTTATAGAATGCTTTAGAAAATAAGACTTCATATTCTTTCACTATTTTAATCTGTTTAAAGTTTAAAGAGCTTTAAAGAATAAAGATGGCTTTGAGTGGTAATGTTAATTCGTTTACAACTATTTACCAAATTCATTCTACGGGCCACACAGTGTTTTAGGCTCTGAAGATATGTTAGTGAGCAAGACAAAAGAGATTCCTGTTCTCCTGAAATTTATGTCCTACTCAGGATGGGGGGAGAAGATAAAAAGCAAATAAAAGCATAGATAATTTAATTCAGATCAGATACTAGAAAGTGTGGAAATAATATGATAAAGTGAATGGGGTAGAGTAGGGTGAATCTGATGTGTTGCATTGAGCAAATGTGCTGCAAAAGACCTATTTACAGTGTGAAAAAACAAAGATGTCACTTTGAGGACTAAGGCACGCCTGACCCAAGCCTTGGTGTTTTCAATCCATGTGAAAGGAGGACAATGAATAAGGAAGACCAAAGAAGAATTAATGCATTTGAATTGTAGTGTTGGCAAAGAATATTGAAGATACCATGGACTGCCAAAAGAACGGATAAGTCTGTCTTGGAAGAAGTACAGCCAGAATGCTCTTCAGAAGCAAGGATGGCAAGACTTCATCTCACATACTTTGAACAAGTTATCAGGTGGGACCAGTCCCTGGAGAAGGACACCATGCTTAATAAAGTAGAGGGTCAGCAAAAAAGGGGAAGTCCCTCAACGAGATGGATAGACTCAGTGGCTGCAACAGTGCACTCAAACATAGCAACGATTGTGAGGAGGGCTCAGGACAATGTTTTGTTCTGTTGTACATGGGATTGCTATGAGCTGGAACCGACTCAACAGCATCTAACAACAACACGGTGAATTTAGAAGGAAACTTCTGCAAGGACCTTGAGACATGAATGATGAGAAGGAGCCATGGGTGAGGTCTGTGGAAAAGTCATGCCAAGAAGTGCTAGGAGCAAGTACAGAGGGCCTGGCAAGTGTGCAAGTGTGGCTTGGGTGAGGAACAGAGCAAGGGCCTGTGTAACTAATGCTTTGTGAGATGAGGACAGAAAGGTCACAGGAGCCCTACTGTGTAGACTCTTGAAAGCCATGGAAAGAATATGGATTTTTTTTTTTTTTTAATTGGGAGCTTTTGGAAGGCTTTGTAGAGGGAAAAAGCTTTTTGCTTTATGTTTAACATAGATCACTCTGCCTGGTCCTTGGATAATAGAGTGGACAGCGCAGAAGTAGAAGCAAGTATACCGGTTGGCTGTTGCATTAACTGTGTGAGAGATGGTGGCAGTAACTTGGACTAGGATGGTGGTGAGAGGGATAGAATCTGGAAGTAGAGCTGATAGGCCGTCTGGTAGGTCAGATAATCCTTTATAAGCTGTTAGATCTTAAATGTCTTTCTAGTAGAATATTTTTGGATTTTTTTTTTGGATGCTGGACTTTTTTGGGTTTGGCATATCTGCTGATTTTGCTAAATATGTGGTAAGGAAAAGAGAATAAGTTAAAATGACTTCTTGGTTTTTGACTTTAAGCAACTGGGTGGGTGGTTGTGCCATTTTCTGAGAAGGAGAAGACAGGTCAATTTTAGGGGGAAATGAAAGGACAGAGATGGTGCCCATTATATGCTTTTCTTGAAAAAATTCTGTTTATTTAGAAGACTAATACTTAGCATATTACCTGGCAGGCTTTCGATTTTGCTTTCTGCTGAGTG